CTTACAATATAATCCTTGATACAATATTCTCAGATAAACCCGGAGCATTCTTCATTGATTGTCCGGGCGGAACTGGAAAAAGTTTTTATATCGTGCCTTATTAGCTACAGTGATACATAGAGGATTTATAGCATTAGCGACTGCGTGTTCGGGTGTTGCTGCTTCACTTCTTCCTGGAGGCCGAACTGCTCATTCCCGATTTAAAATACCTATTGATGTTGATGGAAATTTTAGTTGCAATATTAGCAAACAAAGTTCATTGTCATCGTTGATTCGAGATGCAAAACTAATAGTATGGGACGAAATTTCAATGGCGAAAAAAGAAATGATTGAAGCACTAGATTTGCTCCTTAGAGATTTAACGGAAACAACTATGTTATTCGACGGAAAGGTTGTTGTATTCAGTGGCGATTTTAGACAAACTCTTCCCATTGTTCGTGGTGGACAAAGGGAAGATTTTGTTCGTAAAAGCTTACTATGTTCTGAAATTTGGCATCAACTTGAAAAAATACAATTATCTGAAAATATGTGTGCGAAAGCAAACTGAGCTTTTTGTGAATATTTAATGAGAATTGGTAATGGAAAAGAAAGAAAAAATGATAAGAGCAAAATAGAAATTCCCCGTCCTCTGATCATACCTTTCACCACTGAAAAAGATTCCTTGAATCATCTATTTAAAGTTACTTATCCTGATTTATATTTAACTCATTCAAATATTTCCTTTATTGCTTCTCGTGCAATTCTAATTACAAAAAATGACTTCGTTGATGAAATAAATGACATGCTAATTTCTCAATTCCCGACTGATGAAAACGTCTATTTAGCTACTGATGAAACAATTGATCCAAAAGATCAAAGTGAATATGAAGATTTTTGCACATTTTAAGTCCTCCTGGTTTACCTCCCTAAAAATTATATCTAAAGAAAAATTATCCAATTATATTACTAAGAAATTTGAATCCTTGCAAAGGTTTGTGCAATGGGACACGATTAATATGTAATGATTTCAAACCTCATGTTATTAGTGCTACAATATCCAATGGAGATTTTAAAAATACACATGTTTTCATTCCGCGAATACCACTATTAACATCAGAAGACGAAAAACTACCCCTTCAATTTAAAAGAACACAATTTTCAATACGGTTATGTTTCGCCATGACTATAAATAAAGCTCAAGGCCAAACATTAGATTTTATTGGCATTTATTTGCGAGAACCTGTATTTTCTCATGGTCAGTTATACGTTGCTTTATCAAGAGCTAAAAGTTCTATCTGTGTAAAGGTATTAATTAGACCAACTAAAATTGACAATGATGATGATCATTCTACATATAATATAGTTTATGATGAAATTATTGAAAAAGCTCTTTCTTTAACTTAGACCATCATTCCTGACAATAAGTTTGACGTACAACTTGTTCGTTTTTTGTATTCTTCCATTTTGTATTATAGTCATTCTGGCAATGTTACATATATTCATTATGATATTATGATGTGTTATACT